GAATTAATTATATTTTTTTGGTGTCTCATTTTATTTTGCGGAAATCCATTCAATCTTAATCACTACATATAAAACAAAGTCGCTGTCGCTGTCTGTCCGTTCCTATGTAGCTTATATCTTTAAAACTAGGAAACGGATTTTGATGCAGTTTTTTTTAATAGATAGAGTGATTTAAGAGGAAGGTTTATATGTATAATACCTGTACACCCGGGCGAAGCCGGGCCGAGTATCTAGTAATATTATAATCGCGAAAGTTTGAAGTATGGATGGACGTTTGTTAGTCTTTCACGCAAAAACTTCTGAACGGAATTTGATGAAACTTTACAGTAATATACCTTATATGTACATCAGAATAACATATAGGCTATAAATTTCAAGCGGGTGAAACCGCGGGGCACAGTTAGTGGATTTATAAAGTAAGTAGACATTACATAGTTCATCCCTTCATCGTGTATGCAAAATTTTCCTTTATTCTGTACAACACAGGGTCCACGTCTGCATAATTTAAATTCAACACACATATTTGAGCAGAATTCCGCGCACTTCTGCGTACGACATTTTTTTACGGTTGTACTTATTCGGTATGTACCAGGATAAATTATCTGCAAGCTTACATTTAATGTGCTCATACAAACAAGCATATGACACATTTGATGGTAAACGGTTACCATAGCCTATGTACACCTGCAACACCGGGGTACAGTGCACTTTGACGATCCTTAAGACGGCGATTGACGACCTCGGTGGTCTAGCGGTTCTAGCACACCGCTTTACGTCCGATGGTCGCGGGTTCGATTCCTCGCACGGCACAAACATTTGTATTCATGAGTATGATTGTTTGTATCAGTCTGGGTATTTTCTATGTATAATATGTATGTATTTACGAAAAAAAATTATCTATGTATTTGTATCAGTTATCTAGTACCCATAACACAAGCTTTAGCTAGCTTAACTTGGGTCTAGATGGCGCTGTGTGAATTGTCCTGAGATTATTATTATTATTATTATTATTATTATAATAATAATCTCCCTAATATATATTGAGAAACCCCATGCTATTGTGAGCGGTGCCGTACCATATAGCTAATAAAGTAAAAAAGTACAAATAATTTACTTTACTTCCTGAAATCTTATATAAATAAATGTAGTACTACATATTAAGATGACTTGTTTGTATTAGCATAAAGTCTGGTACTGACGATGCATCGAACCTTGTCTAACTCTATCTAGCGGCTCTATACTCAGTTTGTTCGGAATAATCTCGAAAACAACATATAGTAATTCGAATTTATATATAGGTATATATATATATATATATGTATGCAGATAACTTGTAGAGCATATTCCAATTTTATTAATAATTTTTACTCAAATCAAACTATTAATTTATTCTACGAACTATTTATTGATAATTAATATAATTTAATTTTGTTAATAAAAGTGGGATCAAGAATTAAAGTTAATGATTTAATTTTGTTAAAAAAAATAATAAAAATATACTCTCACAGGATACAAATAAATGTAGACAGATTTAGTTCACAGAAGAAAAAACAATAATTCTCCTGTATTTACTACACTACAAGTAGAATGTACTCAAATTAAATTAATTTTAGGTCGTAAAATAATAATTTACATGTATTGCCAAATGACTTTTAAATTTTAAATGCCAAAAAAGAAATAATTTTGATGAAAATATAAATATTAATAATAATATATATACAATTAAAGTATTTCTCTCCTAATTTTAAATATTTGTTTTTTTTAAATCAAGTACCCTATACTCATTCTAATACCACCACGAATATGTGTACAAAATTTCATGATGATCGGTTCAGTAGTTTTTGCGTGAAAGCGTAACAAACATAACTATTATTTTCAAATCTATACATATAGATAAATAAAATTGGAGTGTCTGTTTGTAACATTAAAATAACCGTTTTTTACTACATGCGTATGTATATAAATATGGTATATACACCTAAATAACATTTTTAAAAATTTTTGTCTGTCTGTTTCTGTTTGTTCGGGTTAATCTCTGAAATGGTTAGACCGATTTTGACGGGACTTTTTTGGCAGGTAGCTGATGTAATAAGGAGTAACTTAGACTACATTTATTTTAGAAAAATTATCAAATTGATTTTTTTCATAAATTCCACGCGGAGGAAATCGGGAGTACAGCTAGTTAATAATAATATACAATTAAACAATTTCTCTCCTGATTTACTTAAATTAATATTCTTCATACCGTGATAATTGTTAATATTATACAATATAATAAAAATGATCAAAGATCAAGATTTAAAGACAAACTTGCTGTCCCCAAGTATCGTTTAGAAAAAGTTAATAGGTCTAGATAATAATAATATACAATTAAACAATTTCTCTCATATTTACTGATTTTCTTAAATTAATAGTTGTTCATGCACTGAATTTTCATTTAATGTTAGACATAGCACCTATATAAAAATACATTGTAAATAAACAGATAATTTTTAGTATTATACAATATAATAAATATAAAAATTTGACGTTCATAAGCGGCTAAAATGTCCTACATGAATAAATGATTTTTGAATTTTGAATTTGAATTTTTTTGCATTTTGATCACAATTGAAAAACAGTCTTATACGGCTATGTATCTAGTGCGGTATCTCATGGAAGGCCTCGTCCATTGCAGGCTTTAAAGTGGCAGAGCATAATTCAATACGACTGCCATTATCAGTAGAGAGCAGGTCTTCGGAATTGTATATTTAAATAAATATAAGTAAATTTTGTGATATTTCCGTATACGTCATTGCTGGGTGAAGGTATTTTTACCGTGAAATCATGTGATGTTTATGGAAGTTAATTGAAATTAATATTAATACTTATTAATATAAAATATTTGTATTATTTCACTGTCTTGGTGGTTTAGGGGTTTATCACATCAATTTACTGTGGTCGTGGGTTCTATTCATCGCACGTTGTAAATATTTAGACTCATGTTTGTTTGTATCGGTCTGGGTGTTTTCTATGTATATTATGTATTTACAAAAAACGTATCTAAGTGTTTATATTTGTCGTCTAGTATTTATAACATAAGATCTACTTAGTGTGGAACTAGATTGGGAGTTGCAGAGCTTGTGTTATGGATATTAGACAAGTTATAGAATATTTAGTTTAAATAGTAATATACGTAGAAATTACCCACACTACACAGACAATCATACTCATGAATACAAATGTTTACACCATGCAAGGAATCGAACCCGCTACTTTGAAAGTTTTTTTTTCCGGACTACTCTAATGCTATTGCAGCAGCTGGCCGCAGCTGGCCTTTACAGCTTCACCGGACGATAGGGGGCGAGTGCAGATGGCACTCCAAACCTGCGGAAGGACTTATGGAGCGGCTGAAGGCCAACTCCTGCCTGACGGATACGACTTTAGTCTGAGGGCACCACTAGGGGCTCGAACCTCGGCTCAGGCCGTCATAATATCGATCCCCGTTTGAATTGGACGGGATATCGATCGGAGGGGTTCGAAAGTATAGCTATATGCTAAATCGCTAGATCACAGAGGTCATCAAATAATAGGTATTATAAACGCGAAGTGTCTGTATGTCTGTACACTTTCTTTTCAAGGGCTGAAGGGATCTTAATCCAATTCCTCGTTATGGGAAGGATTACTGTATATGTTTTTTAAGTATACTGTGAATACACAGTCAACTCTATATACTTCAATACAAGTGTACCTAGACCCATAATAAAACATAGTAAACCAAATTTAATTAGCTACCGAGAGTTATACTTGTAATTAATTCACGGAACCGCTTGTAACCGAGTTATAGAAGGAAACGTCGATAATCCTCAAAGTTTCCCTATAAAGTGTTTGAGAGCATCTCATTAGCATACTTACACTGATCGGAAACCGAGGCGGCCTCGTTTGTTCGGGCCGAGTCTCCATTAAATATTCCACAAGCTTCCATTAAATATTCCATTAAACCTTGATTAACACTCATCTCGGATATTTGTGAACCCATTGTATTTATATCGGTTAGCAGCGGAATTTTACTCCCTTATTTATAGAATTTAAAGTTAGACAAAACAAAATTTCGTTATTTATGAGTGTAGGTTTATTACACTTATCATTATATTGATAAGTTGAGTAAAAATTTTGTACACCTTTTTACGAAAATTGTGCAAATTGCGATTTTTAACCATCATAATGATTTTTAATTTGAGTGTATAGTTTTTGTGTATATATACACAAAAACTGCGCACATTTTTGTTAAAAAAATGTAATGTAGGTATATACAATATTTTAATTAAGAATTTAAACAGGGTCTGGAATATTTATTTGAAAGGTTTCAGATTACGTGAATTGTAAATGAACGAAACGATAATGAACTAAATAAAGTTAAAAAAATAATTTCACACGGTCCTATTTACAATTATTTTTTTAATCAAAAGAGTTTATTCCCCTGTCGCCATAAATCAATTTTAACCAGACTGAATTTAATGTTTTTAACCAGCCGTGTTGGATGTCAGTTCAGCATATTTCGTATGTAAGTAATTAAAATTGAATATATTTTTTAAATTATATTCATTAAAATATTCATTTCAAATTTTATTAAGGTTCAGTCGTTTAAATGTAAAATCATATAATATATATATTTTCGCTCTTATCGCCAGGTAGGAGTTGGCCTTCAGCCGATCCATAAGTCTTTCCGCGGGCATCTGGCCTATCGTCTGGTGAAGCAATAAAGGCCAGCTACGGCCAACAGCATTAGAATTAAAAAAAAAAACTTATAGTATTATGTATAATATATGTATATCAAATCGCGGAGAGAGCTAGTCAATAAATAAAATAATAATTAAAACTGATCCTGATTACCAAACACACAATGCTGCAGGTGCAGACACTCTACCGTGTTGAATAGTCAAAGAATATAGTATTATGTATAAATTATTTCAAAGCGCTGACAGAGCTAATGAATAAATAAAATAATCATTAAAACTGACCTGATTACCAAACACACCGATGCTGCAGGCGGAGGACACCTGATCGGCACCGAACCACACAGCCGCCAGACGCGGTGGTACGTTCAAGATGAACACTTGGGAGATGGCCACCACAGTCTGACCGGTGAAACCTAACCAGAACATGTCTTGCGGCACTGAGAACACCTTGAGCCACGAGCCGGTACATGTTCCGCAGATACCGATTATGGTAGTTACGCGAAGACCCTGGAATAAAAGATAAATTATTATAAACAAGTTTTTTTAAAGGTACCAGAGGAAGACTCGAATGTGTGAGTCTGCGTGGATATTTTATCAAATCTTCCGCTAATAAGATTAGAATAGAATCTTATTAATATTATAAATGATAAATTTGTAAGTATGGATGGATGTTTGTTTTTCTTTCAAGCAAAAACTACTGAACGGATTATGATGAAACTTTATAGTAATATTACAGTAGCTTCATTAATTCATAATTTAATAGCTATGCTCTTGTTGTTGGATCTCTTGCCACTTTCCGCGATCTTCATGATCTTTAATGCTTGATACGACACGACTTCCATATTATCCTATAGCTTATACATCAGAATAACATATAGGCTATAAATTTCATGCGGCTGAAACCGCGGACAGAGCTAGTAGAATAATATTTATTATATCACACATTACAATACAACAATGATTATGCTTACATGAGCATATAAATTATAAAAACATATAAATTGAAATAACACGATATAAATCATTAAACAAAAAAAAAGAACAAGATAATCGAATAAAAGAAAACAAAAAACAAAACAATAATAATAAAGTAATAACAAACAATAAAAAACTTGCATTATAAGTAGTATTCTAGTTTGAAGAAAGTTTTATTAAGTTCCTCGATGGTCTAGCTCTTTAGCATACCTCCTTGGTATTAATAATTCGATTCAATTCCTCGCAAATATCATTTGTATTCATAAGTACGATTGTTTGTATCGTTCTGGATATTTTCTATGTATTTTATATATGTACTGACCAATAAAATGTGTTTATACCAATAACCTAAGCCGCCAGTTGTTCAGCTTGGGTTCGTACTTAATCTAGTCGTATTCTGAATTATCCAAGATTGTTGTTACTATAGCAGTGATATTACAGTATACGGAGGCAAGGAAGGTACCGCCTGACGAGGATTTCATTGTTTAGATTACAAACTTTGTCCATAAAATGCTAAAAGAAAACAAAAGTAATGCTAAAATATTTTTATCTACGACAACAAACATCAAAACATATTAAGACTCAGCGAAGATATAGTGAAATTAAAAAATACATAATAAGAAAACCTGTTGAATCATATGTATATGAATGGTTATAAAGGCAGAGGAAGGCCAAAAAAAGAGATGGATGGACTGTGTTGCAAGATGATATGGTAAGAAAGGAAGTAATTAACAAGATGACTGCGAACAGGGATGAATAAAAAAGAACAACATATTACGCCGATCCTAAATAATTGGGATAAAGAAGACGCAGGTGATGATAATAAGAAAATCTTTTTGAAGTTGGTTAATACTAAATCCGTAATTATAATCGTATACAAAGTTATTTCTAACAACTACTAAATGTGCGACATGAAGGTAAATATGAGTAGTAACTACTAGTTCATCTTGAATTGAGTAGAATTAAATTTTCCTTGTATTCATGATCATGATCTAAGTGACAATTACTTGAATAGAGGTCAAGATAACGAGATGTCAGTGTAATCACGTTTCTCCCCTGTCAACCATGAGTTTAAAGAAATTTAAAATATAATTTTGCAAAGAGTACAAATCTACTTGTTATATATAATTTTATTTACTTAGTATAAGTGGTTGATTGTAAATAATAATAACAATCTCAGGAGATTTCACACAGCGCCATCTAGACCCAAGTTAAGCTAGGTAAATCTTGAGTTATGGGCACTAAATACATGATACAAATACATAGATTTTTTTCGTAAAAACATACATATTATATAAAGAAAACACCCAGACCAATAAAAACAATTCTGAATACAAATATTTGCATCGTGCGAGGAATGGAACCCCGCTAGCATCGGAAGTAAAACGGTGTGCTATGCCGCTAGACCACCGAGGCCGTCAAAAATATAATGAATATAAATCATATAAATATATATAAATCGTACAATCATACAAATTGATTGACTTCACCAATTTTGAAGTGATCAAAATTGGTGAAGTATATTATCAAGGTTCAATGGAAGCTTGTTCCGGAATGATGATGATGATGTAATCCCGTCCGATTTCGTCCACGGCGACTGTCTTCAATTCCGATTTTGCCGTTGATGTGCTCGCATGTGACTTATGTAGCCTATTTTGTGTGTAAAAATCCTCGCACATTGCGGGCAGAGAGCAGTTCCGGAATACTATGTTTCCGATTTATATAAACATGCTAATGAGGTCCTCTTGAAAACTGTATATGGAAATTTTGTACATTATCAATATCTTCTTTTATAACTTGGACTATACCCTATGTTTCCTTAAACTAATTATAACTTTCTATACTTAATTAAAGTTTTAACACATTGTACGCAAGTGTAGGAGGAATGAAATTGCTAGTGATGTGGACTTGTAACCCCATTGCAAATAGTGAGAAGTATGACGGCCTCGGTGGTCTACCAGTTTAGCACACCGCTTTACACCGATGGTTGCGGGTTCGAATCCTCGTACGGTGCAAACATTTGTATTTATGAGTAGGATTGGGTCGGGGGTTGATTCCCCGTACGGTGCAAACATTTGTATTCATGAGTATGATTGTGTATCAGTCTGGGTGTTTTCTATTTACCTATATTACGTATATATTTACGGGGTAACTGACCTGACTCCACTGGTGCCCCGCCAGTGTAAACCGATAGCGCAGGCGGGTGCACCATTATCATCAGTAAAAAATAAATCGAAAGGTGAATATGTAAGTGTGTGTGTTAAAATTTACAATTTAAAAAATTTTGCTAAATACCCGTCCGAAACCGGGGCGAGCAGTTTATCTTATATATAAAATTTTAGTGTCACAGTTTTCGTTCTCATACTCCTCTGAAACGGCTTGACCGATTCTCATGTGTGAGCGTATTGAGTAGGTCTGAGAATCGGCCGACATCTATTTTTCATCCCCCTAAATGTTAGGGGTAGTCCACCCCTAATATTTTTTTTTTATTAAAGGCAGAACAACGTTCGCGGGACAGCTAGTTACTACATAAATATGTAATGCGATCAGCACATCCGTGGTCAGCTCGTGACCACGGCTACTGCAATCTAGTCGAAACGTCGGGAGAGTACATCATCATCATCATCATTCCAGCCCGATAGATGTCCACTGCTAAACAAAGTCCTCCCTCAAAAAACTCCACGACGATCGGTCCTGCGTTGCTCGTATCCAACGCTTTCAAGTGATCTTGACCTTCCCACGCTGCGTCTCCCGGTTCACGGTCGCCACTTTAGGACTTTACTGCCTCTAGAGAGAGTTCCTCTTATTTGCCATAAAATTATTCGTGTTAAATTCCGTTTAATTATATTCAAATTCAAATTCAAAATATTTCTATTCATGTAGGTCTATTACAGACTCTTATGATATGTCAAATCTACCGGCAGTTCGGAATGATATCGAGATGAGAAGAACTGACAAGAAACTCAGCTCGTATTCTTTTCAAATTAATTAATATTAATAACTAGCTATACGCGCGACTTCGTCCGCGTGGAATTTTGCAACATTACTTTATTTTGCTAAAAGTAAAAATTTTTTCTAAAATAAAAGTAGCCTAAGTTACTCCTTATTACATCAGCTACCTGCCAAAATAAAATCCCGTTAAAATTGGTCCAGCCATTTCAGAGATTAGCCGGAACAAACAGACAGAATGACAAAATTTTGAAAAGAAAAACAAAATGTTATTTTGGCGTATGTACCGTATATTTTAATTATTATTTCAATATTACAAACAGACACTTCAATTTTATTTATATGTATAGCTGTGTACTTATTGCGGAAGTTAAAAAAAAATTAATGCAATCATACAACTTAAGAGCTATAAATATCTAATAGGAAAACTAAATATTGAATAACATAACTACCACAACTAACTCGAGGTAACTGGAAATAAATTATTAAGATTATTATTCTAACGACCGTTTTCATAATGAACAATAGTATAGCACGATATTGTATGATACCGACGGATACGGTGGTCTTGCGGTTTAGCAAACGCCTTAGTTTCGATGGTCGCGGATTAAATTAAAAAAAAAATAAAGTCAAATTCCACGCGAACAAAGACGCGTGTACACCTTTATTTTTCAACAAGATTTTTTTTACAAATAAAATTAGCCAAGTTACTGTTTATTACATCAGTTACTTGCCAATAAAAGACCCGTCAAAATCAATCCTGCCATTTCAGAGATTAGCCGAAACAAACAGACAGACAAACAAAAATTGTAAAAAATGTTATTACGGTGTATGTAACGTATTTATATTCATATGCAAGTAGTAAAAAACGGATATTTCAATATTACAAACAGACACTCCAATTTTATTTATATGTATAGATTACTAATATTGTGTCAATGAAACAATATGTTACGTCAATAACTGCTTTATTCTGAATAAGTAGGTACGTAATACAATAATTAATGTTGACCTATCTACAACAACTAATATCCATAAACGCTGCATGTGTGTTATGTCGTATAAATATATAAATAAACAAATACCTTATTTTTAGATATTAATACATATCTTTCATAATACAACTGTAAATACTTGTATGATTATATGTATCTTGACCAATAAAACATGATACTGTCGATAAAAACATACAATGATGTTAATGATAACATTTTTGTATACGATTATAATAGTAAAGGCAAGATCTAGGCTTCAGCTGTTAGAATGCATATCTACAGAATAAAATAAATGTTTTTTTTATATTAAGCTGATGTAATATTACATAATAAACTGTGTTCTTAATCGATTTCCTGACCTGGACATATTTACATGTGACTTGTTCAATTTCAGCATAATGGTAATGGATTTCCTAAACATTACGTAAAATTAATAGTGTAATTATTAATATTTCATATTTTGTACATTTTTTCATAAGCTAGCATATTGGGAAGCTGTGAAGCTGTGAGGTAACATTTTGTCAGAGTTACGGGAATGCGCAAGCAATCCTCTATCTTACCTATAACTGCTAGTTTTTAACCGACTTC